GAGAAAGAGTCGGAGAAAAAAATTATTCGAGACGTTTTTAAGAAGGGAGATCGTTTTTTCAATTCTGGGGATATTCTGGTGATGGATGAGCTGGGATATTTCTACTTCAAGGATAGACGAGGGGATACATTCAGGTTGTACATCCACTCTATTACTTGCAAATCTCCTAAACTCCTTTTTTTTAAATGCAATTCTTCGAGGTTTTGTGCACTTCATTTCAAAATCATAAACATGAGGCAGTGGATTTTAATTTTTATCATAATAAAGAGGAGGAGCTTATCTCAGGCAGAGCAAAATGTATTTTTTACTCGCCGTTTTGGATAAGCTTTCGAAATAATTTGTGATTCCACTCTTCTATCTCATCATCAAGTTTTCCAGTTTTTTTAAATTCTATTCTAGATGGAAAGGTGAAAACGTGGCTACAGCTGAAGTTGAGGCAGTCATAAGTAACATTATTGGGCTCCGAGACAGCGTAGTGTACGGTGTAGAGGTGATAAATAATCCAAACTCCCGAGCATCCTCTTATATAAAAATGTTTTAATATTTTAAAATAAACTCTTCAGGTGCCTGGAAACGAGGGTAAAGCTGGAATGGTAGCAATTTACGATCCACACCAGACTCTCTGCCTTCAGGAATTAGCAGATGGATTAAAAAAATCGTTACCTGCATACGCTAGACCGTTATTCGTCAGAGTCTTAGCGGAATTACCATTAACTGGTGAATAAAAATCTCTTAATTATAGAACCCAATTTTACCTCCTTCGAGGAATAACTTGGAAATCCTTGACTTGTATAGGAACGTATAAACTGAAGAAAGGAGATCTACAAGTCCAGGGCTTCGATATTACTCAGGTAAGAAAAAAATAGTTGCACGAAAAAATATTCACTTAATTGAGACTCTGAGTTAATATTACCTCTGATCATTTCATTCCTCATTCCTCAGATTAAAGATCCAGTGTACTTCTTGGAGAAGTCCGGCAATTACGTGCGATTAACTGAGCAACTCCATCATGATTTAGTCGAGGAGAAGATTCGCGTTTAAATTGAAATGGTTAAAGCTGTGGTACAAAGAAATATTTATTAATACTCCAACTCCTAATGAAATATTTTATCTACATTCAAAGAGGTGTACAAAAAAAAATTGTGTAGAGAGAAAAAAAAATCATACAAATTCACGATCTTCATTCATTTTCATGTGCATAAAAATTCAGCCGCTGATATTTCAATGGCATTTAATGTCTATTCTGTCTATAAATTAAGTAATAATAATTAGTTGAAATTCTAATCATGAAGTGTACCACGACTGAATTGTTAAAAAAAACTCTTGCTGTAATGTTTAAAATAAAACCATTGAGACATAGTCTCTCAATTTCGCTCCTATTTTATCTATTTTTACATTTGTCCATTGGAAAATTTCCATCCCACCCAGTATACCGATTTCATAACTCCTACAGTTATACGCAGTCTCAATGAGTACGAGTGACTCTCATTGAATCCAAGTACTAGATAACAATCAGTTGAACGTTGTACTGTGAGTGGTGGAATGTTAGTTTTACCAAGAGCCACTGCTCAATCAACATTACTTCAAGTCAAATGAATCTTGTATTTACGCGTCTGTCAGTGAAGCGTATTAATTTTAAAAGAATACCAGAACTCTCATCCGTATTATATCCCTAGTTCCGGGATTAATTACAATTTTCTTTTATTTTCATTTGTTCATTCGAGAGCGGAAACCCCGTGAGTGGGAAATAGTCAGAAACGGAAGGGAATTTAATTAATCTCCACGTGCATTCCGCATCGTCAACAAGTTGTCGGCGTATGGTTTGAATGATTCCGAGGGATTCGTACATTTACTCGAGTATTTGTTTTGATTCAATCCTCCTCAGTGATCAAGGGAAGAGAGTTAATTTACATGTAATTGGATATTCTTGTTGTAATTGCGTCACTTTCGTGGAGTGGGTAATTTCATTTGTAATGGCATACTCTGATAAGATTAATATCATTATCATCGTTTGGTAATTGATTTGAGGGAAGAGTTTGGAATTGTCACCTGTTGATTTGCGATCCTCTCGAGTCTAGTTTTGGCATCGGGTTATCGTTTTATTTCAGAACATTTCATTGAACATTCAGAAGTCTCGATTAATTATTGTTATTTGCGGTTTTAATGAGAACTGATATTCGTAGAATCAATACCTGGTTAATGGGATTTTAGATTCGCGGAGAGGAGTGGGATAGATTTTATCGTTATCAGTTTATTTACAAGCGATTTTAATCTTTTGGGTGTAGTGAGTTGCTGGTTTCCCCTGCATCCAGGGAAATCGTAATTTTTTTGGTGAATCAGGACGATTCGGGCGATGGGGAGTGATGATAAATTTGGATTTGCTATTGATCGTGGGGGTACTTTCACTGATGTTTTCGCGAGGTGTCCGGGGGGGAGGGTGAGAGTCATGAAATTATTATCTGTCGATCCTGATAATTACGATGATGCACCTCGTGAAGGGATTCGCAGGATTTTGGAGCAGGTAAGTTGATAAAATATTTTTTTTCAACAAGATAAATTAAATAATAACATAATAATAATAATAATAATAATAATAATAATAATAATAATAATAATAATAATAATAATAATACATTTTCAACGAAATATGATAGTTTGTTGGATTAATTATATTTCTCAAAATTTTTTGTTTGTGATCGCTAAATTTTTTATCAGTCAAGTCAATAAAATTCTGGAAAAACTGAAACGTTGAATAATTAATTCTCATGATCGATTATTTCCCCTCGTATCCCATCGAACCTACCTTTCCCGCGATGGACCGTCGCGGACGAAATCCGATGGAAACTTTCGACTGATAATTCTCTCTAAAATTAAACATCGAGTAGATAACGATATAAATACGACAAGTCCGTAAAAAAAATATTTATTACAATCCCATTGAAAACTAGTTGATAAGAAATTTGTAAAATATAGAGAATATTTTATTAGGAGACTGGACGTGTCATAGGCGATGTAATTGATACATCTGAAATTAGTTGGATCCGAATGGGTACGACAGTAGCTACTAACGCCCTTTTGGAGCGAAAGGGTGCAAAAATGGCTCTCCTCATCAACGAAGGTTTCAAGGACCTCCTCTACATAGGAAATCAAGCCCGTCCTAATATCTTCGACTTGGAGATTATTACACCCAGTGTTTTGTACTCAAAAGTCATTGAAGTTAAGTGCAGAGTTGTGCCAGCACTTCCTGGTAAATGCTCCCTAGATCACGACTCCTGGAGAAAAGTGAAAGGCTCAACGGGTGAGGATTTATTTGTTACTCAAGAACTTGATGAGGAGGCTTTAATGAGGGACCTCAAACACCTTAAGGACGATGGAATCGAAAGTCTAGCTGTTGTTTTGGCTCACAGTTATTCGTAAGTTTAAAAGTCATTGCTGTTCAATTGCCGAAGAAAACTTTTCAATAAAACTTTTTATCTCTGTCATTAATCCTTTTGAATGCCAGGTTTGGTGAGCATGAGCGCAGAGTGGGAGAATTGGCGAAAAGTTTTGATTTCGTTCATGTTTCTCTGTCTCATCAAGTTATGCCAATGACTAGGATCGTCCCCAGGGGATTTACTGCATCAGCAGATGCTTATTTAACGCCTCACATTCAGAATTATCTGCATGTATGTTTTTAAACTAGATAACTTGTCATTATTTCCCAACTGGAATATCCTAACAAGTTCTACATTTTCTGATTTCAAAGTTTCATCATAATATCAGAATTAAATTCAAATGAAAGTACAACGGAATTAAATAGAAATAAACAATTATTTTCTCGACAATTCCCATTGCAGTGGTGAGACTCGAGTGAACTTCGACTTTAGTTTTGTTGAATGTCTTAAATCCAGAGATGACGAAATTTGTATAAATCTCTTTTTACACGTTCCATTTGGCCTTTATGAAGAGCTCCTGAAAATTTTCAGTCTCCCTAACATCAGAAGACATTTAACAAAAGCTGACTTTCCACTGAAGTTTACTTATCTCGTTCCACCACTTGGCTTGTGGATTAATCATCAAGTTTAATGAAGCCCATATTTTGCCAGAGTTTCGCATCAGGATTTAAGAACAATCTCGAGGGAATAAACGTGCTGTTCATGCAGAGCGATGGTGGCTTGACGCCAATGAATTCGTGAGTAGACACTTGTCAAGATGAAAAAATATATCAGCAACGATGGCAATATACTTTTATCGTGCTCTACTCATCTTCCACGATAGATTCAACGGTTCACGAGCTATTCTCTCAGGACCTGCGGGTGGTGTAGTTGGATATGCAATGACCACTTATCATAAGGAAACCATATTGCCTATCATTGGATTTGACATGGGTGGTACATCCACTGATGTAAGTCGTTACAGTGGAAGTTACGAGCACGTTTACGAGAGCACAACTGCTGGTGTTACGATTCAAGCACCACAGGTTGGTAAAGCTAACGCTGAATTCAATGCCCAAGAATTATTCTCCCTTTTTTCATATTGCACGTATTTATTGCAGCTCGATGTGAATACTGTGGCGGCTGGTGGTGGATCCATGTTGTTCTTTCGATCTGGAATATTTCAGGTTGGACCGGAGAGTGCTGGTGCTCATCCAGGTCCTGCTTGTTATAAAAAAGGTGGACCACTAGCTGTGACTGATGCTAATCTCGCTCTTGGTCGATTACTCCCGGAATATTTCCCCAAGATTTTTGGACCCAAGGAGGATGAACCCCTTGATAAATCTGCTACCCTAAAATCATTTCAAGAGTTGACACATTCTGTACGTCATTATTACGTTTTTTTTCATTGATTAAGGTTGTTGTCGCGTAGAATTTTTTTTCGACTGTTTTCGTTAACAATTTTATGGTGAATAGTTTGAAAAATTAGCAACAAAATGAGCCTTTTCCGTTTGCAATTGACCGTTTTGAACTTGAGATATAAATTTTTGAAATTCGAGTGATTTAACACGTGTTTAAATGGAGTTTTGCCGATTAGAATTTTTTT